AATGCAAATGTCTCTCAGCTTCTCTGTGAATTGATTGTTGGGAGGACCCCATAGTGCAAATTCCCTTCTGGAGTCTTCACTGGTATCACAGGGAGTGCAGGCTCATAACACAGGCACTGTGGTTAAATATGAGATATTTTGTAGCTCCCTGTGGTTTCAGGAAAATAATCTGAAATTCAAGACCATATTTAGGATTTGTTCATACACAGGTATGTCATTTGGCTAGTTACCTTTTTAAGACTCAAATACTCAGAAAACCCAAAGAGCTCTTTATTTACAGAAATGCTGTTTCTAAGAGTTTCTGAAAAACTTTGGTTTTGTAGGCTACTGATTTAATTAACTAAGCAGACATGTGGATTTTTTTATATTAATTTCGTGTTTGTTCACATTTAATTTTATCTTCCTATCTGTATCATGTGCTCGGAGATTGGGAAGTAAATCTGCCTTTACATGGCAGAGAGAGAAACTTTGTAAAGCTGTACTAATGAGGAAGAAAATGAGCATTAATTAAACTTGTGGTTACAGGATGGGCCGAGGCACTGGAGTCCTGAAGCAGCAGTTAGATGGGTTACTTCATTACAGCCCAGAACAGGGAGCTGTGATGTGAATGGGAATGAGGAGACAATTAAGTCACTCACCAAGTGCAGAGCCAGAGAGACATTTAATTATCCACAGGAGCTAACGCTCTAAAACCTGGAGTTTTCTGTAGATCTAAATATGCCAGGCAGTTTTTCTGTCAAATTAGACTTCTAAAGAGTGTCTTTAGAAATGCAAGAAGGGTTGGGGGTGTTGAAGAGAAGGGAGAAGAAACCTGCTTTTCAGCTGAGCTCTGTGGTGTGGTGGCAAAGCACTGGCAGGTCTCCTGGGCTGGAGAGGAGATCTCCATCGTGGTGCCCAGGATTATTGTAATTAACTTAGGCAGAAAGCCCATGTGGCTGCTGGCATTGCCAGTATATGTAGATCCTGTGGTCCTTGAAAACCTTGGAAAGAGATCTTCAGGGATGCACGGGAGCCCTGTTAGCCCCAAAAGAGATTAGTGGAACTCTAAACCCCAACCCTGCGTGTTGCAATGGACTAATCTGTGGCATATCAATGTAATTCGTGTCGTAATTAGACAGGACAGTCACTCTCTGCCTTCCTTGTGAGTTTTTTCCTGTGTGGCTTTCACTTCTAAATAACCGCCTTGGTAACCTTAGCAGAGGGTTTGATTCTCTGAACTGCCGTTTCCTTTTGATTAAGTGTCTTCTGCTCTAGTCTTTAATGCATATTAATGAGTGCCAAGCAGTGCTTGACTTGAGTAATTTGCAGCTGGGATCTAAAAGCCCCTGGAAGAAAGGCCTGGGGATATCCTGCTTTGGGAAATAGTGGAATATTATAGGCTCTTTGCTACAGTTTGGTGCATTCCAAAGGCAAACACTTTTTCCATTAATTTATATTTTCATTAGTCACAGGACATAGTCTCTCCTGCCATCATTATTTAGCAATATTCCCATATGCAGTTTAGTTTCAAGTTAAAAGTCCCAGAAAAGGAGGGGAAGAGGTAACAGCTCAGCATTTTTTTCCAGAATTGGAATTCCTTTCCATGAAGATGTGCAATCCCATGCCTAATTCTAAATTGCACAGCATGTATGTGGCTGCAGGGTCATAGTGCAGAGTGGGCACTGCTAATCCATAACTCCTGGAGGTACAGCATTCTCAGGATGGGTGGCAAGCAGTGTAGGATAGAAAAACACTACTGGCAGCAGGTACTTTTAAGCTCTTGAAGTTCATGAAAGCAACTACTCTGATCCCCTTCAGAACTTTTGGAGAAACTGGTAATGGAAAGCCTTAATTCTCCTTTCACATCTCGTGGATTAAATGTCCAGATGATGACGGTCCAAGAATTTTCCAAAGACCTTCTAATTGAAGGAAAGGCACAGGTGTGCTCAAACAATACAGCATTTCTGTTTTAGTCACCCAGAGGCATTCTCCAGGAAATTGCAGCAACTTTAATGCTCTCTGTTGTCATCATAAACTTGGTGGTTGTCTGACAATTGTCTTGGCATGACAGGCTGGCACAAGAGTGATGGCATCTGTGGATAAGAACAGGACTGATGGAAGGTGAAGGATGTGAACAAACCCCTGCACAACACCGGTGTTGAGTTGATGACTAAAAGCAATCTCCCTTTCATGGTGGCTTTTTGAGGTTGTTCTGAGTAGTATCAGAAAAAATGCAATAGGCAATTGATCTTGAGTGCTTCATGTTCAAAGCACTTGGCAAAAAAAATAACAAATCAGCCCTTGTAATTATCCTGCAAGACTGTTATTGTGCTGCCTCACAGGTGGAGAAATGGAAGTAAAGAGGTTAAATGTCTTGCTCAAAGCATCAAGGAAATGTGTGGTGGAGACGTTCAGGAGCCCCACATATTTCTTAATGAATCATTTATAACTGTGGTTGTATTATTAGGCAGATGGCTTGACCTGTGGATTGCTGTAGCAACTCTGCCTTGCCGTCTAAATGAATTTTCTTCTTGAAGTCTTGAAAAAGCTATTTTTTCTTTAATTATTTCATGACAATATGTTGGCTAAAGACTGTGGAGGACATGCAACACATAAAAATATGTAATTCTTGAACAGTTCAAACACATATTCTTTCCTAATAATTCCAACCAAAAATAATTGATATGTTTCTCAGGTGTCACCTTCATCTTCTCAGGAGGGAGAATTCACTCTGACCAGCTTTTTTCATTTCCAAAAGGCCACCATGCCCTGAAAGCTAAAGTTCACCTATAACAGTTGTTCTTCTGTCTAACCAGTTCAACTACTGAGTGTAGAAGTTGCTTATCTGTTAATATTCTTAGAAGATCTAAATTCCTCCAAACTCCCATCAGTATTCCCTGCTGCATACAGTGTACAGCAGCATTTTCCCAGTATCCTGAATTATGGTCTGCATTCTAAACTAAGGTCTGGCATTAAATGCTTAGTTAATACTAGGTTAATGAACCCAGAAATACATAGGAACCTGTGCACAGCCGTGCTTTTTTTTTTTAACTTACAAAAAACAAAATCACATTTTTTTTCATGACAGTCAAGCTCCCAGTGTATATCTCCTGGGCATATGTATGGTGTTTGCATCAAACCCTGTGCAGCTGAGCTTGCGAATGGTTCCTTCTTGATATTTAGTTGTGCATTTATAAAAAGATTTCAGGATTTCTGGATATAATACTTAATATCCAGAAGAAGTGTGTGTGTGTGTGTGTGTAATGCAATTGGAATACACATTGGAAGGAGAGTAACATCACCTCTGAATTTTTCATGTATTCCACTTTACAGTAAAAGATCAGTTTTTGTCTCTCTGGGTTCAGTACTTATTTTCTTGGTTGTCTTGACTTCCTTGAGCTACTGAGCCTGTCTCACCTTTCTGCATCTGATGTGGAATCTAAATTAGATAAGAAGAAACAGGACACAATTTCAAATTCAGTTTTCTCTATACGGGCAGGATGGCATCAGTTTAAATTGCTTCGATATAATTTTACCTCTTTAATTCTTCCTCTTCAATCTGTTTTTGTATACATTATATATATGAATTCTGGGACTGGAAATCTTGCCTAATGTAAGTTAAGACATGACAAATGAACCTGACATTTTTCCAAGGAGGGAACTAGTGAACATACTGTATTTATAGCAGTAGGAATGTAGTTTGCTGCTTGTAGAAGAAAAATATATGTTGTAGGAGAACTTTAGTGCAGGGTTATGATAAGAGTGTTTAGATGATACTTGTTTCAAGTGAGGATTCTGGGTTCAAAGGAGCCAAAACTGGTTCTCCTGAAGCTTGAGATAGGCCTTCAGCAAACAGGGAGTTTAGGCTCCCAGAAGCTCAGATAGCAAGGTGAAATGTGTCACAGTGTTGAGATGTTCTCCTGTGTCCAGCTTGGAACTCCAATGACTTCAGGATCATCAGTGGGCAGAGAGGGAAAGAGCGTGATGAAGGAGCTTCTGAAGGTTGGATCTGGAGCTTCTCTCAATAATCATCTGAACAATTTCATTCATGTCAATAGCAAGACTTTCTGTCTACAAGCTAAAAGTTCATTAGTTTGAGTTCTCAAACACAAATGTTCAAATATATGCAGAAAAATTGATTCAAGCCAACCATCTCTGCAAGCAGCTCTTGGCTGCTCTGACCTTCTGCAGTAGGGCAGGACTGCAAGAGGAGACAAACCCAAATCATCCCGGTGCCCAAGTTACTTCACCTGCATAAAGACGATGAAAAGTCTTTTTCTTTTTAAAGTTTTCAGTCTTTATGAGAGTTTCTCCTGAACATAGTGAAAATTGCTTGGATGATATTCCTCAGAGCTGCTCTGTAGAAGTGCAAATTTCTTTTTTCATACCAAGGTATCTGGTCCAGTCTGCATAAGATTTATTTTTTAACAATGCACTACTGACACTTCTTTAAAACTAGTTGTGGCTAATTCTTGAAAGATTACTTTGTTGACTGAACCCTTTGTGTCAAGGAGGGAACAATCACAAAGCTTATCTGCTTGCAAGTAAGATGTAGTATTTTTCCATCCTGCTCCTGAACAGAAAGGCTGACTCTACATTTTTTGACTAGTACTGCACATCAGGACCAGTTTATGGCATGAACTGATCCTTTATTTAGCAGAAATAGTAAACACTGGGGCAGTCTGGGCTTGATGGATAGCTAAGGTTATCATAACTTGCATTTTAGCTGTTTTTTAATGGAGAGGGTATTTCCTAGACAGATTCTTAGACCTATACTTCGCTCATGTGGCTCAAGGAGAAGTCCTTTAGGCTCAGGGTTGTACCTTTTGTCCTTTCTTGTCAAGCTGGGGAAGTGATGCTTCGTTTTGCTCTAATAAAGAATTCACCTGGTTTCCTTTCTGCATCCTAATTGCTCTCCAGGGAGCACTAAAGTGTGCTTAAGCATATTGTAACTGTTTACTCACAACGTCTGCTGTATGTGCAGTAATGCCAAGTGTTCCATCTCTGCCCTGTCCCTACAGGCTGGCATGATCCGCACGGACAAGGACGAGTTCTTCATTGAACCTCTGGAGAAGGGGGCCCGGGAGGAGGAGGAGGGAGGAGGCAGAACACACGTGGTCTATCGCAGAGCAGCTGCCAAGAAGCAGCTTCCTATTGAGAGCATGGATACCCTGCATAAAGGTAAGGCAGGCTGATGTACAAAGTGCTGCTGAAGGCACGTAGCCAATGTGATCTGCTACCTCTGGCTTTTGTGTCCTTGAAAATGAAATGTGTTCTTCTCCCTCCAAGCATGAAAAAGTATGGAAGGAGTTGAACATTTTACCAGGGATAAGCAAACGTTGCAGCAGCCAAAACCATCTCCAGGATGGTGGAAATGACTTTGCTTTAAAGAGTTTCCTTGGCTCCAGAGATAGCCAACATAAAGTTGTGTGTCCCACTGAGTCCCTGGGTGAGAGTGGAAGAGGGGGGTGGTGGATGACACAGCAGTGCAGAGGTGCCTGTGCTGGGGGCAGGTGGCACTGCTGGCTTGGCAGAGGCTGTGTTGGAAGGCTGCAACAAGGACACCAAGGCTGACGTGGTACATGGGCTTCTCACTGAGTGTCTTTGCTGGGCTGGATTAGTCCCAACAGGGAAATAATGATGTCTCCAGTATGAACACAAACTGTCTTGATTTATTTATGTGCTACCAAGTGTGGAATTTAACGTATTAAGTATGCGATAGACAGTGACGGAATAGCAGGAATTAAACATAAGCACCAATTCTATGCAGTGTTTTCTGTTTGTCTGATAACTGCTTGGATGTTGCATCCTTTTTTCTAAATAAATAAGGGATGCAAATCTGTTAAGTAGATGTTTTGACAGCTGATGTTAACACTGAAATTAACTGGGTCATTTGACTGGAAACAACAAAATAGCTACATTTTTGTTCCAAATGTGTGTACCAAACTGCAGAGTTATTTGTCACTCATACCCTAGTATTATCTTATTTCAGTATAATAGGTTTTCAAGTATAGGAAGGAAGGAACAGAGAGCCAGAGAGGTGAAGCACTGAAATTAGGGTCATGTGAACAATAGAAATTTCTCAGTGTTCAGATGGGAACAGGGATTAAAAAGAAAGCAAGCAATAGCATTCAACCAACCTTTTCTTTCCACCTTGGAAATAACCCATGTAATTTTGTGGCTGACACAGTGCTGTGGGGAGACTCTTCTGGTTGCCTCTGTACTCACTGTGGAGCAGAGCTGGGGAATGCAGGAGTCTGAGAGCCACAATCCCAGAAGGATTGGATGGTAGATAGGATGGAAGTTGCTCTATTAGTAGACGTTTATAAAAACATTGCATGTTGGAAAATATCAGCCACTCACTGTGTTTCCTCCTAAACAAAAGAGACTTGATTTCGTTCACACCTTATGGCAGTATTTTTGTTTTTGGATGGTAAATATTCCTCAGGAGTAGGAGTCTGGTACACAGCAAAGTGTAAACTGTAGATCAGCTCCAGTTATTGGCATGCAGTACCTGCGAGAGGAGGCTCTGACAGCAGTGTCTGAAAACACCCCTCTCGAGTGCTGTGTGGCTTCTCGAGGAGCTAAAGGTGGCACTGCCCACCGTGCCTGGCAGCAAAGCCACACACCGTGTCTGATGCCACCAGACTTCCGTGTCTGTCACCTCACCTACATGAGGGCTGGAGTTTGCAGGCTCTGGTACAAAGGCACAAAGTAATCAAAGCCATCAGCCAGCACTGGGGAGCTGAACAGCGAGGCTGAACTCATGCAGGCCTGGCTGAGACGTAGCAGTGACCTTGTCTGGATCAGCAGGTGTTGGGGATAGGTAGGAATAGTTGTGATAGTTCACATTTTAAAGTAAAGAAATATTTAGTAATCTAAAGTAGTCTTCCCTTCCACTCCACCATCTTTTGATTGTAAACTTAATTACAGATTAGTTTTCATTTTGGAAATAATCTACTGCAGTGCAAAGGGGATTTTTTTCCATGAAATTGTCTTTGCCTTTAACAAAGAAAGTGAACAGGCACTCCAAAATGGTCTGTTCTCTACTTTTTATTAAACCTGGCTTCCCACCTCTGATTTGCTCCAGGCAACGGGCACGGAAAGGATGTGCTTTCAGAAATTGTAATTTTATTTCCCAGTTTGTCTCTTTACAGAATGCATTGAGTTTTGGTTTAACAAACATCAAAACATTTAGTGACTGGGTGTTGAGAAGGGCGCTGTGCTGTGTGTTTCCATAGTGCTCTAAATTGATCGATGGGCTGATTTAGGAAATACTTAGTAGGGCACTTTCAGCATGCTGTATCTATTAAAAAAAAAAAAAGGAGGTTAACCAAGAGCACTCCCCCTCTTCCAACATCCCTGGAGACAACTGCATTGTTGCCAAATCCCATAAATTTACATGTGATGAATTGTAACACTTGGACTATTTTTAAAGGTCCAGCCTCCAGGAATCTTATGAATATGTGATGATTTTTTTTTTTCCTAGGTAAGCTTCTGGTTCTTTTAACTGTTGAAAAAAATCTTTAGTTTCTGGCTGTGTAAATATTTTAAGGTAATGAGTAACACAAAGTTTATGTATTCCATACTTTTTAAGACAGCATCTTTCAAAGTCCCATGATATGTTAATTTAATCCCATGATTTGGGAGGGGATTGTGAGTCATGATTTTTGAATGTTTCACTTTGGATAGATAGATACAAATTCCTTATAAATATTCCTATCTCTGGCACTATTTTCACAAGAAATAGGACAAGATGTTCTCTCCCCAGTGAAACAGGAGGGGAAGGAATGGAAAGCTCCATGAACTTGGAGTTGGGTGGGTCAGTTGTCATTTCAAGAACTTGGGTCTGCAGTGGGCAGTGGCCACGCTGGACCTCACACAACACAATGCTTTGGGGTTTACTACAAAATGCAGTTTTTTTGTTGAGTAGGTGGCTGAAGAACTTGCTACTCAACTCAACATGCATCTCCCACAGCTGCCAGGCAGAGAGCTCCAACATGGAGCTGCAGGACAGCAGGAGAGAGGCTCCTGAAGCCGATGAACAACTGAACTTCCCAGAAGACAACCAGGACTAATGGAAGATCCATTGACTGGTTGTGAGTGTAGATTCACCAAAAAAAAAAACACAAAACTTTTTTTTTCAAAAAAATTTCATTTTCCACACCATGGAAGTAAATTCTAATTACGTCAACAGATAGGGTGAGGTGAACCTTGACAGCAGGGTTATTCTAGCATTTTCCATACGCTGCTATCTGTATTTTAATATTATAGCAAAAGAAATTGAGATTTTATTCCATCTGTTTAAAAAATATAAACAAACAAACCCCACGACCTCCTAAGCCCTGGTGAGATCAAGGCATGCATCTAGTTTTGTGAAGGCTCTGCTGACGTGCTGGGTTTTGAGCAGAGGAATGTCCTGGGAAGGATCTGCCGTGAAAGGAGCAGCAGAGCTCTGGTCTGATTTCAGACTGTGCCAGGTTTGCTTCTGCACTTACATAAACCACTATCAGAATATTGGGAAATGTAAATAGTTGTTTTGGCAGCCTGAATAACTTGTTTTGACTGGTGTGGGATTATCTGGTGTTGGCGAGAATGACAGAGCACGGGGTGTAATATTTCTGCCTCCTCTTCCCTTCTCAAACAATACCATTTGTCAATGTACTAGAAAAATGTAAGCATCACGTTTTAGGCAAGTAATAATCTTCAGCAGAGTAATATTGTGCAGGTCTGTGTGAGGTCACTACAAATTAGGCTAATTGTTTCAGAAAGAGAAATATTTTCATGTAGTGGCTGATGTATTGCAGGTATGGCGAGAATAAATCCTACTTTTTCTGGCGACTGCTCTTACTGCTTGCATGCATATAATAATTTATCTTCCTCTAGATAAAAATCAGCAGCATGTTGAAAATATTTTAATATTTCCAGTTGAATTCCTTCTTACAAACATGAAAAATGTTGCTTGATAGCAGTAAAACTAGCTGCACGATAGAACTGGAATTAAATAGATGAGCTAGAGTAGGTTGGTTTTTTTTCTTAAATGTTCTTCGGATGTTAAGTGAAGAGATGGTAAGTATTTAATTGACAGTTATGATGAGGTCTGGAAAGCCAGTTTGATTTTTTTGTCTCTAAAGACAACCTGATTATCAGGCTTGTAAGCTTTAATATCAAATTTCCCCAGCTAAATTACTGTGTCTGTTATGTTGATCAGCTGAGAGGAAATGATTATACTAAAACTTCCTTAAGGTTGGCCTTTTCTCTCAAAATTATTGTTTAAATATGGTGCTCTGAGTTTTATTGTATTGCTTGATTGATGAGAAACAGAAACTCAGCTTTAGTGACAGTTTTATTTACTGTACAGATGAAAGATGACCTTAGCCAAGAACAGTTTATTACCGAGGAAGACAGCAAGGTAACTCCCCAAATGTGCTTAAACCAGGAAGTTGTTGTTTCTGCAAGTGCCAATTAAATCTCTTGGAATGGCCAAACACAATCTGACACAAGTCCTGTCATGAATGGGCTGTGGGCTGACAGGGTGGACAGACAGACTCACAGCCTCTGCTGGAGACTTGTGACCTCTTCCCGTGGCAATACTTGGCATTGCTGGTGGTCAGACCTGCAGAGGGGAATTGGCTTGGTGCTGGATGATGCTATCGTTTTATGTGACCCTGTGATGCACTTTTTTGGGCAAACCCCCCCATTTTAAGTTTTTGTTTGTTTGTTTGTTTTAAATTCTACTACTGTTTCCTTTTTTGATGTTGAGGGTGCTAACATCCCCCTGGCTATAAGAATATACCAGTCAGGTAAAAGGACAGAAAGAAGTTGCTGCTTCTACTCAGCAGTGGTGGCCAACTCCTTTCTGACAGACACCCGAACCTCATTGGGGCAGAGCTGGTCCTCAGACCTGTCATTGGCATCTCCTGCCCCTCCACGAAGCAAAAGGGTAAAAGTCTCTCCTTCTCATCCTACTGGGACATTCAGGAGTCCTGAGGGATTAGGGCCACTTCAGCAGGAGAGAAATCCAAGCAAATTTAAGCCAAAACAACCCAACCCTCTAAGTTTTTTGAAAAGATGAAAGTTAAAAATATGATAAAGTTGTAACAACTCACTTGCCAGAGCTTTGCAGGTTTTGGAGATGATATTTCAGAGGAAGACTCCTCCATCATAGTCCATCAAACTGT